CACGGGCAAACTGATTGGTACTGCTCATCCATGAAGATATTTTTTTAATCTAAACCCACTTTATTAAACAACAATTTTCATGGGATACAATGGAGATCTGAAGGATTAAGAAACCAATGATGACGACCCATGTCCAGACCGAAAACATGTTTGCTAGGCTATGTGCCTCAATATTTGAGCCTCTTTCTTGTTCATCCATTAAGATGGTGACAAAATTCTAGTTCGCTAACCTACTTGGCCCATGAGCAAGCCCATTTTAAAAAGCCACAAGCCCACAAACACGTGAGAAGAGCCCCCTCCCCACCTACAGTTCTATCGCCCACTCAGCTACGGCGATGGGCCCGCCCATTCCAACACTCGTAATGCAGTACCTTGCCAGGTCACATTTAGTTGTTGGTCGACGGTTGACCGGTCAAACATTGACTTTTGAAAAAAAAATGATTTTTAAAAGAACCCACAAAAAAATCAAAAGAAATCATGAAATAAAATGTTTACGGATTTCTTGAGCACGAGACGGCCGTCTGGAAGGGCCTAGGGGTCCCCCTTGCTACGGCAAGGGGCTCTATTTTGGGTTTTGTCGTTGCGTCCCTTGTTACCAAGGTTTCTCGAGCATGAGGCTTCACCCAATGAAAACCCTAAAGTTCACACATGGCGCTCAAATGTACTTGTAGATCCTTGGGATCTAGTGTTATGTGAAGGCAAGTTTTTTCCCTTTCCAAAGGCAACACATGAATGGAAGGTGTCGCATGACGAACGAAGCAATAGGCACCACCAGATCATGGGCCTCTTTCTCCTCGCAAAAAAAAGATCATGGGCCTCTACAAATGGAGAAGCTGAAATCACCCCACATTGAATTCTTTGGCTAGTAAGGCTTCCCGCTGAGGGGGTTTCTATTTAAAATATCTGCCATGTACGACACCATGAATCCAATTGTTTCAATCAGGCCCGCCGGCCACCTTGGGCACTAGCAATCACTCCTACCCAGGAATTCCTCATGACCTGGGGGCAGTACTTTGACTTACATGCCTCCAAGCGGTGGTGGAGTGCTTGCGACCCCTCAGCAACATCAGCAGGATCCCCGTGAGGGTGAGAGCCGCCTTGGTCGTCAAGATCTAGCAAGGCACCACGAGCACCGACGTACACAAGAAGCTCCAATTACCGATGGTGCCCCTACCCCTAGGAGCGGCAAGAACTACGACATCTGCCAACAATGATATGTAGCATCTCTGACCACAGGGCCTCGGGGCTAATCTTTGCAAGCCAGCACTTTTGAACGAACCTTGACTGCTGGTAATGGATATCCGGCTTGGCAACGCTCCTTGAGCTACCCGCCTGGCAGCCTCTTCTTCCAACGTCGCACGACTTGTTGCTTGGAGGGGTAAGGCATCACGAGAATTTGTTGGGTTGCACCAGTGTCCCCCCTCTGCCCATCAGAGTGTCAAACAAGGTTAGCATCATGCATTCAAGAAGTAGTGGACGGAATGTGGGTGTCCAACAAGGGCAATCTCAAATCACACCCTCCATAGTAGGCAGGGGGCACCCTCGAAAGAATAGTAAAAGATACCAAAGCCAATGGACATATCTACAAAAGGGAGAAAGTAAGAACAGAGCTAGAAGAAGTTCAAAATGTGAGCCATCTCCTGTGGTGGTGCCCACGTCTTCGAGAAGGTCACAAGTTTCCAGGCCTGCCCACGAGCCCTAGGAGGAAGGAGAGTCATCCATCACGAGGGGGGGGAGATAGGGCATCTTCTCAAAGGGGCATTCCCACTGGCCCTTCCTAATGGGGTCCATAGAGCCTGTTTCCAGGGATTCCTATAGCAAAAGATCTCCTTTGGCTCTGTGGGGAGCTTGGAGAACTTCATGGATCTATGCTCCTCAGGGGTGGTCTCCAGAAGGATGCGAGTTGCCAAGTGGTGCATCTTGGATGCCTCCTATCACTCCAGTTCATTGAGCTCCGCCCTCATTGGCTTGTCAAGGGGATAGTGCCCGGTCGTGTTCTGGGGTTGTCTCGAGTTCCTTCCAAGTGGCATATCGGGGTCGGGCTGCGTCTCGCAGGGCTCCACCCTCTTACACCATTGGCACTCCAGAGTCCTCTCATGCCGCTGCAACGTCCTTCGATGAACCAAGGGATACGCCCTTGTCATCCAGTATGCCGCCGCGGGGGGGTTGGCCGCCATGTTTGGCGGCTGGCCGCCATGTTGGTCGACACTCATCCCGTATGAGCAAGATTTCCTTTCTCTTTGTTGGGAGCAGGGAGCGACGGGGGGCGGTGGTGGAAGCAGCTACATGACATGGATGCCTTTATGGCTCGAGGACGCCATGCGTGCAGCTAAAAGAAAAGAAAGAAGAAAGCTCAAGGAGGGAGGTATTATGAAAAGAGTGGAAATGCCTCTCCCCTAGCTCGCTCCTTATATAGGACTAAGAGTATCCCCGACGATAAATGAGCAATGGGGGGCGGTGTGGGTCTCCATGCCGCACCATTGGTCGGGGAGCGTCTTGTCATTAATTCGTCATTGGGTAGCGGAAGAGCCCGCCATGACGGAGGAGAAGCATTGAGCCAAGTGCTCGTGGGCTGGCGCTTCAGCAAAAAGCACAACCTATCTCTAGCTCTCCCCACCAGTGGAACCCATCCCCGTTTCCATTGATGGGTCGGGCCAGGGGACACTACTCCCTCCGTCACGGTTTAGAAGACGCGCTTGAAAATTCTCTGGAACCTAGGTGATTATCTATTGGTTGTGAGATGAGCTAAAAAAATAGCATTCACGCATGCATATAGAAATAGTATATCGGAGTACTAATTAGCTAATAGAAATAAATGCAATGCGTCCTAAACCTTGTCTATTGTGAAAACGCACGCAAATTTAACTGTGCCTTCTAAACTATGACAGAGGGAGTATCAGCGATATGAGGAAGGGAGTCCCCTCTCCCTCTCGTTTCTTGGGTGGACCATAAAATGGATCTCGAAGATGTTCATTGCTATCAATAGTACGGGGTCAGGGTCCCTACCTCCAATTTCTTCGAGCAGGCCATGGTCGACCCCACCCGACCCCTGCCACGGTGCTTACCTAGGGCTCCATAAACCATACCCCGAAGCGGTCCCTCACTATCAACACTACGGCCCAGGGGTCCCCTCCTTCAATGGCTCCAAGCAGGTTGTAGTCGGCCCCGGTGACCACCGCCACACTACGGGCGTGTTGGGTTGAAGGCCTGGGCGCTCTTCCTGAGAAAACTTGTTCTTGGATAATGCCTGGGACGAACGAAAATTGTGCCTGGCCAGGCTAGCCTGGTAGGTGGACGTTTGGTTCCTGTCCTTGCTAGCTGTTATGTCGTTTAGTGGTTCTAGAATTTTTAAATAGGTCTTTGCAGCTAGTGGCTCCGATTAGCTCCAGGTTGGTGTCGAAGCATGTCCAGGCATACGAGATGGGATGCCTGGGCCAGGCAAATCACGCTGCCTGGGCTAATTAGGCTCTCCTTTTTTACTAGCCATGCTAATTAATCACATTATAGGCATGGCCAGGCAAGGCAAGTACTTTTTTCTCACGACGCCATCCAAACAATCACCAGGAAGGTTCCAGGCACAGCTTAGGCTAGGCATACAATGGCGAGGACATCAACCAAACACGCCCTACTTAGCCTCGCGGCTCCGTGAGCGAACCCCGTGCACCTACGCCTCTCGTGACCTCGACCAACATCCGAGGTGATATATGATGATGAGCCTGCTCAGCCCATCCCTGTCCGGATGAGCTTGGGTGAAGAGGGCAACATGCATCTACATGGGAGCAACATCACCCAAGATGACCATGCCTTGTCGAATCGGCTGACGATTGCAGTCCTGGCAGCCCAGGGCAAGGCGATA